CAGTCCCAGTTACCCCTATTCCATCTCAGTCCCCGTTACCCCATCCCCTGTCCCCCTCAGTCCCCATAACCCCATCACCTGTTCCCTCCAATCACCCGTTACCCCCTGTCCCACCTCAATCTCTGTTACCCGGTCGCCTTCCTCCTCAATCCCCTGTTACCCCCTGTCCTCCTCAATCCCCGTTACCCCATCCCCTTGTTACCCCATCGCCTGTCCCCCTCAATCCCTGTTACCCCATTGCTTGTCCCCTTCAGTCCCCCGTTACCCTCTGTCCCACCTCAATACCCGTTACCCCATCTCCCTGTTACCCCATTGCCTGTCCCCCTCAATCCGACGTTACCCCCATCCCACCTCAATCCCCATTACCCCATCACCTGTCCCCTTCAATCTCCTCTTACCCTCTTTCCCCTCAATCCCCGTTACCCCATCGCCTGTCCTCCTCAATCCCCCATTACCCCCTGTCCCACCTCAATCCCTGTTACCCCATCACCTGTCCCCTTCAATCTCCCGTTACCGCCGTCCCACCTCAATCCCCATTACCCCATGACCCCATCCCCCTGTTAAGCCATCGCCTGTCCCCTTCAGTCCCTGGTTACCCTCTGTCCCACCTCAATCCCCGTTACTCCATTGCCTTTCCCCCTCAATCCGCTGTTACTGCCTGTCCCACCTCAATCCCTGTTACTCCATCGCCTGTCCCCCTCAATCCTCTGCCCCATCTCAATCCCTGTTACCCCATTGCATGTTCCCCTTTAATCCCCCGTTACCCCATCCCACCTCAATCCCTGTTACCCCATCTCCCTGTTCAATCCCCCGTCCCACCTCAATCCCTGTTACCCCATCCCCCTGTTACCCCATTGCCTTGCCTCTTCAATCCCCTGCCCCACCTCAATCCCTGTTTCCACATTGCCTGTCCCCCTCAATCCCCCGTCCCACCTCAATCCCTGTTACCCCATCCCCCTGTTACCCCATCGCCTGTCCCCTTCAATCCACTGCCCCACCTCAATCCCTGTTTCCGCATTGCCTGTCCCCCTCAATCCCCAGTGCCACCTCAATCCCCATTGCCCCATCCCCCTGTTACTCCATCTACTGTCCCCCTCAATCCCTATTACCCCATCCCCCTGTTACGCATTGCCTCCCCCCTCAATCCCCCGTTACACCCTGTCCCACCGTAATCCCTGTTACCCCATTCCCCTGTTACCCCATCGCCTGTCCCCCTCAATCCTCTGCCCCACCTCAATCCCTGTTATGCCATTGCCTGTCCCCCTCAATCCCGCATCCCACCTCAATCCCCGTTACCCCATCCCCCTTTTACCCCATCGTCTGTGCCCCTGAATCCCCCGTTACCTCCGTCCCACCTCAATCCCCATTACCCCATCCCCCTTTTACCCTATTGCCTGTCCCCCTCAATCCGCTGCCCCACCTCAATCCCCATTACTCTGTCTCCCTTCAATCCCATTACCCCTTTTCCCTGGTAAACTCTGTCCTCCTTAATCCTCATTACCCCATTATCTCCCTGCTACTCCATTGTGTGCCCCCCCCTCAATCCCCGTTACTCTGTCTCCCTCCAATCCCATTACCCCGTTAAGATTTGTCCTCCTTATTCCTCTTTACTCCCATCTCCCTGTTACCCTATTGTCTGTCCCCTGTTACCCCATCCCCCTGTCTCCCTGTCCCCCCTCAATCCTTGTTACCCCTGTCACCCCCTGTCCTCAATCCCTGTTACTCTGTCCCCTGTTACCTCATTACCTGTCTCCATTACTTGTCCACCTGTTACCCTATGTCCCCCTCAATCCCTGTTACCCCCATCACCCCCTGCCCCCATCACTCCCTGTCCTCAATTCCCGTTACTCCATCCCCAGTTACCTCAGTGCCTGTCCCCATTACCCCGTCCCTCTGTTACCCCCAGTCCTCCTCAGTCCCTGTTACCCCATCCCCCTGCTACCTCATTACCCTGTCCTCCTCAATCCCCATTACCCTGTCCCCCTGTTACCCCATCTCTTGTACCTCTGTTACCCCTGTCCCCCCTCCCATAATTACCCCCTCTTAAGCCCTGTTCCCCCTCCTCTGTTACCCTGTTCCCGGTTACCCCGTCACCTGTCCCCCCAGCCGTTACCCACATCCCCTCTCCTGTTACACCCTGTTCCCCCTTCCCTGTTATCCCCATCCCCCTGCTACTCCATTACCCCACCACCACCCCAGTCCCCACGCTTGTTACCCCCAATCTCCCCTCTGCTTATCCCCACCCCCTGTTGTTCTTTTCCCCCTCAACCCCCATTGCCCCTGCCCTGCTCATGTCCCTTCTCCCTTCCAGTTTTCTGGACTCTGCACCCCCTGGAAGAGCCTCAGGGGCATCAGGAATGCCAGTTTCCCCACCCTAGGTAAGGGTCCGGCTGAGGATCGCACCCTTAAGTGAGCATTGGCCATACGAGTGGGGTGCTGCTCCATGGCACCCAAAGTGGGTCTCCACCTGTTCCACAGCGGGTAGTAAAAGGAAAGGGTGTTTCTTAGCTGCCCCCTTTACATTCCCCATCAGGACAGTGACAGCTTTTGTAGACAAACGCCATGAAAGTTAATGCAGAGTAAAGCAGGGTGTGAATTTAAAGAAGAATAGCTGTTTCTGAATACCTTCTTGTGTACATGCTCTTATTCTAGAATAATAGTGCCTTATTCTGAATTAATTTAAATAACTTCCAAATGAATTAAGCTAATTTGGAGTAAAGCACACTTATTCGTGAATACTCCTGTCCACATATGGAGTTACTAAGGAATAGCTAATTGGAATAACTCCCTGTGTAGACTGCCCCAACAGTGTCCACATGTTGAGTTAATCAGGAATAGCTGATACTGTCCTTTGGATTTGGCTCTCAGTACACCTTCCACTTCTTTTAGCTTTCTCTTGGTAGTGTAAGTAACATTTCCTCTGTCATTGGTGGCTCAGTCTCCAAATATTCAACTGATTTCCAAGTCGTCTATGTTATTCGTTAGGTATGGGACAGCCCCTTCAGAAGTGCAGTCTTCTGTGTGGGAACAGCATCTCTGTTCTCCTTGTACTATTAGAAGCATCTGTGTTCTCCTTGTGCTTTGCACTGTGCATTCTTCAGACATGCCACCTGGTGACCTCTTGGTTTTGTTGTTCAGTTCCTTATTTCTTGTGAGGCACGATAATTTGCACCACACAGTGGTAATGTCGGCTTCCTTTCAGTGGGCTCTGCTTCCTTTCATCCTTCATCCAGTGAACCAGGGTTAAGAGCCCTGCTCTTTGGATTCTGATCATGTACAAGCCACTTGGAAGTTTCCCAAGATTTTGGTTTGATTTTTCCCGTATTTATTGTTGCATCCTATGTCATGTAACTGCAGGTGTTTTCAGTATCTATATAACTGTGCAATCCTTTAATGACTCTCATGAAACTCTTGGAGTATTGAGTAATCTCACTAAGATCTTGGACTATTGCAATGACTCTTGTGGCAGTGAGTTCCAACACATTATGTACTGCATAAAAATTATCTCCTTTATCAAATTTAAATTTATTCTCTTCCAATTTCATGGGATGTCCTTTTGTTCTTGTATTGTAAGAAAGGGTAAATAGAAGTGCTTTTACCTACTCTATACCAGTGTCATTCTTGTCCCCTCGTCTTTGTCTCTTTTCTAAATGAAGAAGTCCTAATCATTTCAATCTCTCATATGGAAATCTTTCCATTCTTCTTAGGTATTAAACTTTTAAAAACTTTAAATTTGAAGTGACTCTCTACTTGCAGGGTATAAATCTGTAAGATCCTCAAAGTTTTGATTTTTAAAAGTACAGTATACTTTGTCTTGTATAAAATGTGCTGGCTTCCGACTAGCTGTATCTTTTAAAATCTTGGATTGTGAATAATTGTTGGCTATCCAATAATCAGCCTGGCACATACAATCATAGAACTGGAAGGGACCTTGAGAGGTCATCTAGTCTAGTCTCCTGCACTTGTGGCAGGACTAAATATTATCTAGACCATTCTTGACAGGTGTTTGTCTAACCTGCTCTTAAAAATCTCCAATGATGGAGATTCTACAACCTCCCTAGGCAATTTATTCCAGTGCTTAACCACCCTGACAGGAATTTTTTCCTAATGTCCAACCTAAACCTCTCTTGCTGCAATTTAAGACCATTGCTTCTTGTCCTATCCTCAGAGGCTAAGAAAAACAATTTTTATCCCACCTCCTTGTAACAACCTTTTATGTACTTGCAAACTGTTATCATGTCCCTTCTCAGGCCAGGTCTACACTAACCCCCTAATTCGAACTAAGGTACGCAACTTCAGCTACGTGAATAACGTAGC